ACTACTACTACTACTACTACTACTACTTCTACCACCACTGCTGTTACTACTACTCTTAGGTCAAGACTACGACTAGCACTACATTTGCGACCACTACTACCACGAGGACTGCTGCTACACTAGTTCTACTACTAATGCTACGACTACGACTACTACCACTACTACTAGTCTTACTCCTTCAACTACAACTACGGCTACTGTCATACATACTTTAATTACAACGGGTACGGCTACGGCTACGGGGAAGATTGTGATTACTATTTAGTTCAACTAATAGCACTTCTACGGCTGCGAGTATTACGACTAGTACTACTGCGACTACTACTACGACTACGACTACTACTACTACTACTACCACTACTATTGCTACGACTACGACTACTACTACTACTACTACTACTACTACTACTACTACTACTACTTCTACTACCACGATTATCACTACTACTACTACTGTTATGACGGTGCTACGACTACTATTGATATGTACTACAACTACTACTACTACGAATTCTTCTGTTACTACAACTGCGACTACTACTTCGACGACTACTGCTACTACTACTGTTACTGCTGTTATTATTACTTCTACTGCGATTATCAGCGTGGCTACTACTATTCCTACTATTCCTTTCAATGCTATTACGACGACGACGACGACTACTACTACTACAACTACGACTTTTATCATTACTGCCACGTCTACGACCTATTACTTCCATTACTACTACTACCACTACTACTACTACTACTACTACTACTACCACCACTACTACTACTACTACTACTACTACTATTACGACTACTACTACTACTACTACTACTACTACTACTACTACTACTACTACTACTACTACTACTACTACTACTACTACCACTACGACTTCTTCTGCTACTACTGCTCCTACTACTATTACTACTACCACTACGACGACGCCTGCGACTACGACTACGAGTAGCACTATCATTTCTATGGCTTTTTACTGCCACTCCGATTACTACTTTCACTGCTACTCTCACTAGACTATATTACGACTTCGACCCGTACTGCTACCACTACTACTATTTCTACTACTACCACGACGACTACTACTACACTTCTACAACTCCTGCTACCACTGCTACTACTACCACTACTACTACTCCTACTCCTCCGACTACTACTACTACTACTACTGCGGCTACAGCCAAGGCTATTTCAATTACTACGACCACGGCTACGGCTACGGCTACGGATGCGCGTGCGACTACTACTCATAGCACCAGCACCACTACTCCCTTTAAAAGTACCACTAGTTGTTTTGATACGACTACTGCTGCGACGACGACGACTAGTATTTCTACTACTTCTACCGGCACTACCATTACTACTACTACTACTACTACTACTACTACTACTACTACTACTACTACTACTACTACTACTATTACTACTACCGCTACTACTCCTGACAAGACTGCTAGTACGGCGGCTACGCCTACTAGGACTAATCCTAATAGTATGTTTATTCTCCGACGACTCACACCACTACTTCACCTATTATTACCATCGCTATGGTTAGTGCTACTACTACTACTACTACTACTACTACTACTACTACTACTTCTACTACTACTACTGCTACTACTACTACTACTACTACTACTACTTCTACCGTTTACTACTATTACCACTGCTTCCTTTGCTTCTGCTCCTTACTCTTCCTCCTACTACTATTACTACTACTACTACTACTACTACTACTACTACTACTACTACTACTACTACTACTACTACTACTTCTGCTCTACGACTGCTGCTACTACTACTACTACGCTACTACTGCTACTACTACTACTACTACTACTACTACTACTACTATACTACTACTACTACTATACTACTACTACACTACTACTACTACTGCTACTACTGCTACTACTACTACTACTACTACTACTACTACTACTATACTGATGTATTACTACTTACTACTACTACGACTACTACTACTACTACTACTTACTACTACAACTACAACTACTACTACTTTATACTACTAACTACTAACTACTACTATACTACTACTACTACTACGACTACGACTACGCTACTACTACTACTACTACTACTACTACTACTACTACTACTACGGCCACGACTACGACTACTACTACTACTACTACTACTACTACTACTACTACTACTACTACTACTACTACTACTACTACTCATAGCACCAGCACCACTACTCCCTTTAAAAGTACCACTAGTTGTTTTGATACGACTACTGCTGCGACGACGACGACTAGTATTTCTACTACTTCTACCGGCACTACCATTACTACTACTACTACTACTACTACTACTACTACTACTACTACTACTACTACTACTACTACTATTACTACTACCGCTACTACTCCTGACAAGACTGCTAGTACGGCGGCTACGCCTACTAGGACTAATCCTAATAGTATGTTTATTCTCCGACGACTCACACCACTACTACACCTACTATTACCATCGCTATGGTTAGTGCTACTACTACTACTACTACTACTACTACTACTACTACTTCTACTACTACTACTGCTACTACTACTACTACTACTACTACTACTTCTACCGTTTACTACTATTACCACTGCTTCCTTTGCTTCTGCTCCTTACTCTTCCTACTACTACTACTACTACTACTACTACTACTACTACTACTACTACTACTACTACTACTACTACTACTACTACTACTACTACTACTACTACTACTACTACTACTACTACTACTACTGCTGCTACTACTACTACTACTACTACTACTACTACTACTACTACTACTACTACTACTACTACTACTACTACTACTACTCTACTACTACTACTACTACTACTACTACTACTACTACTACTACTACTACTACTACTACTACTACTACTACTGCTACTACTACTACTACTACTACTACTACTACTACTACTACTACTACTACTACTACTACTACTACTACTACTACTACTACTACTACTACTACTACTACTACTACTACTACTACTACTACTACTACTGCTGCCGCTGCTGTTGATACTACTACGACGACTACTACGACTGCCGCTACTACTACTGCTGTTACTACTGCCACTACTGCTGCTACTACTTTCTTCTATTTTCTCGTGATGCTACTACTTGTTGCTACTACGACCTCGTACCCCAGCTGCTGCAACTACTACGGCGACGGCTACGACTACTACTCTTATAATTCGTACGGCTAGCACTATCGTAGTAGTCGTAGGTGTCGTCATCGTCGTTGTTGCCGTCGTGGCCGGCAGTAGTGTTTCTCTAGTGCTGGATGAGTTGGATAATGTTTGGGGCTTCTTCTCCCGAAGGGATCATCCATTGTGGGCTCCCCGATACGCGAGAGGATGCGTGAGTATCTTCTCAGGAGGATTGCAATAGTAATCAGTTGTTATGTTTGAAGTCGCGATTGTATACGTGATTGTATACGTGATTGTAGTCGCGGTTGTAATCGCAACCGTTGTCGTCGTTGTAGTCGTAATCGTCATCGTAATCTCAATCGTAGCCGCAAGCGTCGTCGTCGTTGCGGCGGAGATCATTCTCCCTCTATTGCTGGGCGAGCTGGATAATGTTGGACGTCCTTCTTTCCTCCCAGGGAAAAATGCCCTCTGGGCTACCCTGCACAACAGGGGAATTGCGAGCTCATTTGTAAGAGGATCGCAATGTAGATCGATCTTCGCTGAAGGCTTTGCCCACAATCTTTCTAATACTGTTTTTTGTCTGAGGGTGGCGTTTCTGAGGGCCCGCGTGGGGCCTGAAGTTCATCAGTCCTTACCAGGATGGAGCTTCTGAGGATGAAGCTTCTGATGAACAAATTTCTGAGCTGGGATTTTCCGTGGGGGGCGCTCCTGAGGTATAAATGCTAGCAGTCGTCGTAGCCGTAGTCGCAATCGTAGTCGTAGCTGTCGTCGTCGTCGTCGTCGTTGTTGCGCGGCGGGCGCCGCGGGAAATAACAGTTAGTTAACCGTTTTGGTGGGGCCCTGTCGGTGAATAAGGCCGCTGGGCAAATAATTAGTTACCTCCTATTGCGGGGTAGTTTTCTCAAAAACGTATCGCAGTTACGCGCGGTTCCCAGAGGGTTCCGTTGTCGCCGTCGCCGCCGTTGTCGTCGTCATCCTTTTGCTGCTGCTCCTCCTCGAGGCCATCGGAGCCTTCTTGAGGTTAGTCTTTGGGGCCGTCCTGGCAGCCTCTTCTTTTTTGTTTTACCTTGCCCTCTTGGACCCCTCTCGGAGCTCCATTGGGTTTCTCTGGGACCCTCTCGGGCAATCGCTGGGCTTGTTGCTGCTTTGTTGGGGCCTACTGGAGCCCTCTGAAGCCTTCTAAGGGCGTTCTCGAGATATCATTTGGCCCTTTTGCGGGCTTGGCTCGCTCAGAAGCTTGGCGTCACCTGAGAGAGAATTTCTCATGCAATCGTGTCCTTGCGAGCGCGAGCCCCTTGTAATTTGCAAGGGATTGTGGCCCTGTGAACGCCAGCCCCACTTGTCAGGCGCCCTGACCCTGGGAGCGCAAATTCTTAGTGTTCGTGGCCTTGGGAGCATGTGGATCCATTGTGTTCACGTGGGGTCGTATTCTCGGGAGCGCAGACCCATTTTACTTCACACATCATCCTTGGCATGGGAGCGCGGACCCATCGTAATTTTCAAGGCATCGTTACCCTGGGATCGCGGATCCCTCGTACCTTGAACTGGGATCGTGTCCGTGGGGCATTTCATCCCTGGGGGGGACCAGAGGCTGGCAATGTGTGGGCGGGTTGCAACTCATTACGCTCGATCTCCTGCATCACCAGAAGGACAGTCCCATTAAACGTGACGTTTCACAGCCTGGAGGCCCTACATGGGGGCCGCCGGATTCCATGGAGCGCGATGCATCAGCCCACGGAACCGTGCTCGGGGGGCCGCTCGGCACGACGCCCTGAGGGAGGTGCTGAACGGGCAGGGGTTCGACATGGTGCTCTCGCTGAGGGAAGAGGGCACGTCGCTGTTCGACGAGGCGGCGAGCACGGCAGAGGAGCCTCTCGCGGACTCGTTCGACGCGAGCCTGGCAAAGATGCACACCCTGATCGTCCTCGGGGGCGTGCGCGACGTGATGCCGGAGGAGCACGTCTCGCTGCAGGAGATCTGCGACACGCTGCGGGTGCCCATCCACGCCGTGAGCCTGGGCGTCAGCTCCGAGCTCACCTCGAAGTGCATCAAGACGTTCGAGGTGCTCGCGGGCGACCTCGGCCTGTGGGCCGACGCGCTGGCCCCCGTCGTCGGCGGGTGCCCGCCCAAGTTGAGGAGCAGCCCGGCCCCGGACAGCGCCGCGGCGGAGGCGCAGACGGCCCCGCTGCACGTGGTCGTCGCGCTGAACGAGGCGCTCGCCACGTTCATGCTCCGCCCCGCCGCGGCGATGCTGATGGCGGACGTGTTCATGGGGAGCCACCACAACTATGTCAAGACCCGCACGCTGTCCCTCATCGGCCAGGACGGGTCCGCGGTGTCCCTTCGCATCCGCAAGGGGCGGGTCCCGCTGACTGAGATGGAGGCGCTCGAGTACTTCGTGGAGGAGGGCGGCAAGCGACTCTGCAGGCAGGGGATCAAGGACCTCCTGCTGGAGGACCAGAGGCGCCTCGGCCGAGACGACCTCAGCCAGCTGCTGCTGCTGCACGCCGACGGCGCCGCACCCCTGCTGCGGTGGCCGCTGGGAGGCGGCCCCGACCAGCGGCCGGTGGCCGTGATCTTCGCCCCGCAGAGGCTCGCGGCGGACATCCGTGGCGTTGCCAGAGAGGTCGGCGCGTACGCCAGCGCTGCCGTCAGCAATCTGCTGGCCGGCCCTGCGTTCGTGAGCATGCTGCACAGCGACGGGCTGCTGTCTCGGGCCATCCGCAACCCGCACTGCTTCGTGCAGCACTAGGCGCAGCCCTCGTGCAGGAGCGGAGGTGTCAAAGTGTCGCCGTGGTGCCAGTGACTACCTGTTGGGCAGCGCCCTGCTGCCCTCGCGCTGCTCCCTGCCTGGCAAGGTGGGGAGGACCAGAATTTGTGAGCGGGGCGTGCGTGAAGAAGGGTTTCATATTTGCATAAGGTCGCGGCGGTCATCCAGCTGCCTGCGGCAGACCCCGCAACCAGCCCAGCAACGCATCACGAACGATGAGGAGTTTCAGACCCGCTCCAGGTCAGTGCCTTGTTTGGATTTGCGCGGGTCCTGAGCGCCCCCTCTGTGTCCGCAGCCGAAGTATCATCGTGCTTCCTCCTCTTTGTCCCCGCCCTCCCCTTCTCCATCCTCCCTCTCGAACGCATTTGCCTGAACAGCGATTCGCTAAAAGGGTTATTATGTGAGCCCGCGTGGGCCCCAGACAGCTATCTATGTTATGCCATATATGTTGTGCACTCTGTTGTGTGCAATACATGTGGTGCAATATTTTGTTTGTAATCTATGTGGAGCAACATCAGAGTGAGGGGGATGAACCGAACGGTCATTCACTGTCCCTGGGTGCGTGGCTGAAGTGGAATTCCGCGATGCGGATTATTGTTGTTGTTGCTTGTTGTTTGTTGTTTGTTGTTTGTTGTTTGCTGTTGTCATCGTCCCACCCGCGACCCGCCCCGCGACCCATCCGCGACCCACTTCGCGACCCACCCGTGACCCACCCGCGACCCACCCCGCGACCCAAACCGCGACCCACCCCGCGACCCACCCGCGACCCACCCCGGGACCCGCCCGCGACCCACCCCGAGACACCCCCGGCGACCCACCGGCGACCCACCAGCGACCCACCACCGGAGACCAACTGGCGACCACCCCTGCGACCCACCCGCGACCCACCCCGCGACCCACCCGCGACCCACCCCGCGACCCACCCAAAATTTTCGGCGCTTACGGCGGGTCTCTTTCGCATTCGTTCCAGGTTGTCCAGGTGGAGAACCTGCGACCCACCCGCGACCCAAACCGCGTTCACTGTACAAGTCAAAATTTTCGGCGCCTGCGGCGGGCTGTTTTTGAATTCCTCCCAGGTGGAGGTGGAGAGCCCGCGACCCACCCGCGACCCAAACTACGTTCACTGAACAAGCCAAAACTTCGGCGCCTGCAGCGGGTTTCTTTTGCATCGGCGACCCACCCGCGACCCACCGGCGACCCACCCTGGGACCTACCCGCGACCCAACCCGCGACCCACCCGCGACCCACCCGCGACCCACCGGCGACCCACCGGCGACCCACCGGCGACCCACCTGCGACCCACCACGCGACCCACCGACAATTTTCTGCGCCTGCGGCGAGCTTCTTTTGCGTTCGTTCCAGGCTTTCTTTGCATTCGTGAGGGCCACGAGGTCCGCCGGCTCGACGCCCGCATCGCCCGCGCCCGCCCTTCAATGTTATCCACAGTTGCGGGGTGCTGTATATTTGGCTCAAACTATGTGGTGTAATCAGGATTGTGACATCGAGTTTTCAGTTTATGTGGTGCGATTCATGCTGCGCAATCTGTGTGTAGCCTGTGCGATGCCAACAATGTGGTGCAATGCTTGTGGTGCAATCTTTCACGTCTGTGCAATCAATGTGGCGCAATGTATGGGATGCAATACATGTTGTGCAGTCACTGTTGTGCTTTCTGTGATGTGCAACATGTGTTTTGCAACCTATGTGGAGCAATAGATGTTATGCAACCTATGTGCTACAATCAAACTCATGCGATTTCTGCGATGGGCAGTCTATGGTGTGCAATCTATGTCGAGCGGTCGACGTGGTGCAGTTCACCCTGCCGAACTTGAAGTTGTTACTTCCACTGCTCGCGCAATCATCCCACCCACGCACCCACAACTTGGTTTGCAAACCCCATGCTTCGCAGATTGCGACGACTGCTTGGCGCTGGCTGGCACATTGCTGCGGCCGAGTTAGCGCTCGCAGGCTCGCACGCAGAGCGCTAGCTAGTCTGGCGAGATCAACGTGGCCACGGTGCCGCTGACCATAGGACACCTCTCAGCACGTCTCGCAGGCCGCGCTGACGTTAGGGCATTTCACTGCGATGTGGTGGTTCGGGCGGGAGCGATATCAGTAGCCCGCATCGTATTGTTTGACATGGACCGTGCCCCCCCACAGCACGCGCACAAGGGCGGTCGAATGATTTCGACGTGTGCGCGCGAGAGGCCCGTTTGGCCGCATGTGATGAAAACCCTGTGGTTGCCTTCAACATTCGCAAGAACGCGCTCTTTCTGGGAAAATCAGGTTGCTTAGAATCTTCACGAAACCTCGGCATGCGCGCGCGACGACGCGCGCGTGTGGACTGCGTCCATTTTTTGAAATATTCTTGCGCATTGGAGATGTTTGATGCGCTTTGGGGATGTTTGATCAACGGTTTCTGCATTTTCAGGCCCTCTTGGGAGGCCTGTCGGAGGCATCTTGGGGCGTCTTGGAGGCCTTTTGGGCAATATTTGAAGCCATCTTGGGCGTATTGGGCGGATATTTGGGCGTCTCGGAGCCCTCTTGGGCCGTCTTGCAGTCCGCTTGGGGCCCTCTTGTTCCGTCTTGTGGCCCTCTTGGGCCCGATCATTCACGCGCCACCATTAGGCCCCGGGAGATCTGGGAACGACGGATCTGGGCCCCTTAAAGACTCTTCAGGAGTGAGGAGGACCTGGGGACACGACCACCACGTGCCCAGCGGCACGGTGGCGGATAAAAAATCATGCGGTATAACCGTATCTAAATGGCAACACGCGAAGCCGACCAGATAATTTCGGGGTCGGGAGGTAGATCCTAGTTCTTGTTTGCAAAGGATGGTCGTACAATCTATGATGTTCAGTCTATATTGTGCAATCTATGTGGTTCAATCTGTGGCGCGAACTATGTGATCCAGTCCTTGTTGCGGCGACGGGGCGGCGACGGCTGCATCAAGGCGGCGGATCTTACAAACGAGCCCAGGCGACGGGCGGTGACGATGCGGTGACGGGAGGGCGACGGCGGCAACGATGCAGCGGACCCGAAAAAAGAGCCCAGGCGACGGGGCGACGGGCGGCGACGGGGCGGTGACGGCGGCAACAAGGCGGCGGACCCGACAAACGAGCCCAGACAGCTGGCGGCGACGAGGCGGCGATGGTGGTGCGAGCTGCAACAATGCGGCAACAAGGCGGCGGATAGGTCAAATGAGCTCAGACAACGGGCAGTGACGAGGCGGCGACGCGGCGGCGACGGCGGTTGGGAAAGGAAGGGGGGGTAGCTTCTGGAGCGCGAAAGGGGGGGTGGGAGCTTCTTCCGAGGGGCGAGAAAAAAGAAGGGGGGGGCTTCCAGCAGGGATGTTCAAGGGGGGGATGTTCAAGGGGGGGTGTAGCTAAGCCCCCCCCCATTGGAAAGGGAGGGGGGAGGGGGGGGAGCTTCCCGAGCGTGAAAGGGAGGAGGAAAGGGATGGGAGAGGGGGGGTAGCTTCCGGAGCGTGAAAAAAAGGGGGGGAGCTCGGGCAGGAAAGAGGGGGGGGGAAGCTCCGGCAGGGCAGGTCCAAGGGGGGGAGGGCGAAGGGGGGGACACCCCCTCTTTGGGGAGTGCGCCACGGGCGCGCACCCTTAGAGAAGGCCCCAGTGTCTGCGTTCGCATGGCACCGCTGAGCCCATTTCGGCACATCCTTAACATGCTGTGTGTCCCCATAGGGAGCTCCAGCGAAGGCCCCAGTGGCTGTGTTCGCATGGCACCGCCGCACCCACTGCAGTGCACCCCTCCCGCGTTTCGTGGCCCCCCAAGGAGCTCCAGCGAAGGCCCAAGCGGCTGCGTTCGCATGGCACCGCCTCGCCCACTCAGGCACAACACTCACACGTTTCGCGGCCCTATGGGGGGCTCCAGCGAGGGCCCCATCGGCTGCGTCCGCATGGCGCCGCCGCTTTCGTTTCGGCGCAGCCATTGCACGCTTCGTGGCCCCGTAGGGAGCTCCACCGAATGCCCCGGTGGTTGCGTTCGCGTGGCACCGCCGCACCCGTTTCGGCACTTCCCTTACGTGGCCCCGGAGGGTGCTCCCCCGAAGGCACCAGTGCCTTCGTTCTCATGGTAGCACCGCGCCCAATTCGGCACATCCCTCACACGCTTCGTGGCCCAAGAGAGAGGTCCACCGAAAGCGATACCCACAATGCGGTGTTCACTGGTATCCAAACTGCATGTGATTGGGTCCTTTGACAGGATAGTTGTTTGCCCGTTGAAGGCCCGTTGAAGGCCCGCCAGGGATCTCGGGGCCGTCCTGCCGGCTGTGGTTTCCGATAGCTGTTTTGAGCAAGGTCAGCCAAACCTAGTAAGTGGAGGGAGGGATGAGGAGGCAGGAGGAGAAGACGCGAAGAGGACGCGGAGGAGAAAGAGGAAGAGGGAGCAGGAGCAGGAGGAGGAAGCAAGAGGAAGAGGCACGAGGAGGGTGAGGAGGAGGGTGAGGGGGAGGAGGCAGCATAGTACGATCCCAGTCGATCGATGTTTTCGTAGTGTGAAAAGGAGGCAGCAGAAGGTGAAGGCTTGATTATGCGAATGCAGGATGAGCCATGAGGAAGAGGAGGCAGGATGAGACAGATGGAAGTGAGGCAAGAATAGGAAAAGGAAAAGGCACGAGGAGGAGGCAAGAGAAGGAGTAAGGGGGAACTCTGAAGGCAAGAAGAGCAGAGAGGGAGGATGATGATGGGGATGAGGATTAGGGATTAGGATGAGGCGGAGAAGGCGGAGGAGGATGCGGCAGGAGGGGGAGGCAGGATGATGAGGAGGCAGGATGATGAGGAGGCAGGGGGAGGAGGAGGAGGGATAAATGAGGGCGGCCTTACCGGAGTAATGGAGTTTGGAGAGCACGGGCCGCAGCACGCTCGGTGCGCGGATCATGAAACGTATGCTTGATTGCATTTGGAAATCCATTGTGCCACATCCAGGATGTGTCATGTCTGTGACAAGTGCGGGAGGTTTGGGGCTGAGGG